TATATATATATGTGTGTGTGTGTATATATGTATATATATATATATATATATATATATTTATATATGTTTATATATATGTGTGTGTGTATGTGTATGTATGTGTATGTGTATGTGTATGTGTATGTGTACATACATACATACATACATACATACATACATAAACACATACATATATATATATAATATGTATGTATATATATATATTAGATTCCATAGCCTTCTGAAATCAAACAGACGGCTCTTTATATTAGTATGTTTTTAAATAGATTCTAATATGAGAAGTAAAAACATTACCCGTCTCTTCAGAGAAAGAAGAAATAAAAATAATATGCCTGATCGGACTATTGTCACCATAGCCCACTTCATAGCCCACTTCATAGTTCACGTCATAGTTCACGTCATAGTTCACGTCATAGCTCACGCCATAGTCCACTTCATAGCCCAATTCATAGCCCACTTCATAGCCCACTTCGTAGCCTCTGTGTAATTGTGTATCAGGGAGGCTATTCCTAGTACAAGCTGTGACTAGGGGAGCATGGGAGAATGGGCGAGCCTGCAATAGACCTCTGCAAATTCTAAAACCGATTGCGAGTAGCTGACTGGCTGATCGGTAATCCCTTTTTCCATGAGTCATTCTTACGTACATACATATTGTTCTGAAAAAAATAAAAAATAAAGAACATATTGCATGGACTGATGTGAGACATAACTCGTATGTATTTACTATTAACACCACGTATTTTATGGAAAGAAACTATGATGACGTACTACGTAAGAGCTGGCCATTTTAAAAGCCAAGAAGAGGTGGTTTGATTGATTTTTATTGGTGGTGACAGATAAGTTAGCGATTGTCAATTGATACGAATTCATTTATTATCAGCGGTACCTACAAATATCCGGTAAAACGTACTGACTATATTTACGTTTTCTGTCGTTCACTGTTTTGTATCGGAGCTCGCCTATTTATTTTTATGATTTTAACAAAAACGTATATTGCGTATTATTTATTTTTGTATTGCCCTTTTCAAATTTTGGTGACGCGATTTTGACAGCTAAAAAAGAAGAGCATTTAATATTTTTCCTATCATGCACTACTTGCTTGTATGTATTGTATTGTAATTATGTATTGAGAGTTGAGAGCTTGAGACTTGAGACTTGAGTGTTGAGACTTGAGAGTTGAGACATTCTATCGAGGTATTGAGGTAACTACGTAATTATGAACTGTATTTATATATGTTCATACATCGTCTATATAAGAGCCTCTATCCTTTCTGACGACCGCACTTTCCTAATACTTAGACTACACTAAGTATACACCTGGAACTACAGCACCTATTAAATATCAAAATGAAAACCTCGCTATCACTACTTCTGGCCACCGCAGGTGCTGCAGTCGCGCGCAATGTCGTGATGGAAAATTGTAAGTTACCATCTTCGCCTTTGTTTATTTGAAACCTCTCTGTGTTTCGGTAAATATCATCTTTTTCGGGCTGTTTCGTACATTTGGCACAGTTTCGTAGTAATTGTGGAAGTATTGGAACTCGGCTCAGATTGTAAATGCATATGTTGCGGTTCTATTTGGACTGTTCTGCATTTTGTGTGTCGTTGTGATTCGCGGTCATGCTATACGTTACAGTTTTGGAATACGCTCACAATATCGCTCCAACTATATCTGAATTGAGTCTGACATCAGTTTTATCTGGTGTCATTTGTTACTCTTTTACTGTAAACCTCTGCTTATGTGTATCGGATGATGAGGTGAATTATAAGGTCTTCGATAGAATTTCACTTTCGTATCGAGGATGCCGTATACTTCCCACACACACTTTTCCTATTTACGAATACACTCTTTCATACTATTCCTATTTACGGACATACTCTTTCATACTATTGAATATCTCCCATACATAGTCTTTTATACCAATCTCTGTGGTGTAATATGTACCGTTGCTCTCCCGCGCTATACCATGCACATCTGCGTAGTTCCTAACCTTACATAAAACGCTATCCACTTTAGTGGGCGAGATTGCTGCCAATGAGGAGCTCACAACCGAATTCAAGCAGTGGATGGCAGCCAATGACAAAGAATACAGCGGCAAGACAGCTATCGAACGACAGGCCATCTACTACAAGAACAAGTTCATTGTGGAGCGAATGGCGGCCGAGAATGATAACGATCAGGCCCAGTACAAACTGAATAAGTTTGCGGATCGAAATGCTGGAGAGATGCTAATGGAGGTATGTGATTCGGCCTTGCATTCAATGATGATACGCTTGTATGTTATATTTCGTGTACTGTTATGGAATCGTCACTGTCTATATTTACCTCGTGTCTGTACGCGATCGCTATCTTAAGGCTCTGGGCTCGGACCGGTTTCCGAGGCTTTTGCCAAATGTGCATATATAAAAGCCCTTGTGATAGTACAAAGCGCCGAGAGGATATAACAATTATATGTTTGTGAGCTATACGAGGATCCTCTGTTTGTTGTTATTTTTGCTTCTGCGCCACGGTGTAGTAGCTATCGATTTGCGAGCCTGTTTGAATGTAGTTTGCTGTGTCGGTCCCTGGAGACCTTATGCCGTATCTTCATGTGCGGAGGGCTCTAATACTAAGTTACTCTTTCCGTTACAGCTGACTTCATGTTTTGCTGTCGTTTAGCATCAGCCTCGACGGCGAGCAACGTTCCGCTGTTTCAATGTCATAGTATTTACGCGAAACGGTTATGCGGGATTTTGACCGGACTGTTGTACTGGCTGTGGATGCCAAATCTTTACATAGCATTTATGGAAGTGTAAGTGAAATTGTGGCAAGGCATATAGATAGGTGGTCTATTGATGAACTGTAAGAATACAGCAGCTGTTGCTGTATTGATCCGGCAGGGATCCAGAGGTTTAAGTTTTTAATCGATATTTCCGTCATCGCACACAGATTAACTCTCCCATGGACGCTGATGTGCAAGCGAAGCACATGCTGCCCGATTTGCCCGTAGACGATCTACCTGAGAGTTGGGATTGGCGCGACAAGGGAGCGGTGACTGACGTCGCCAATCAGGTGTGTGTATCGGTAGTCCTGATCACTACAGTAGTATTCACTTCTCGCCTTCCCCCCCTCCCTCTCTCTCCCCCTTCACACGTGCACACACATACACACGCCTGTTTTAGCATAGCCTTCCTTCTAAATTGAACAAGATGTTCAATCTAGAAGGCTATGATTTTAGTGACTACAGTACCGGCCGCTGCAGTTCTGTGTGAGCACGTATGTGAGTTGTTGCCACTCCCTGCGTACGGCACTATACCTGCACTCTGGAGAATTGAAACTGCGATGCGCCATGCTCTGTCGCCTCCTCCGCTCCTACATGCAAAGCCAGTCCTGTCTCTTCTACGTAGTCGCTGTCGAAGTATCACTTTGTCATTCATCAATTCACCTCTATTTCTCAGGGAAGCGCCGGTTCTTGCTGGAGTTTCTCCGCCGTCGGGGCTATGGAAGGGGGCTACTTCATCAAACACAACAAGCTGCAACAGCTCTCCCCCGAGTTTCTGGTAGAATGTGATCCACGTGACTGCGGCGTATTCGGCGGGTGGCCATACAAGGCGTATGAATTCACCATGGCGGTTAGTACGTGAGGATGTGGGCGATACGTTGTTATATGTGCTGTGCAGTCGTGGTCATATAAGGCGTATGAGTTCACCATGGTGGCAACTGCATGAGAGTGTGAGCGACGCGTTGTTATATGTGTTGTTCAGTCGTGGTCATCTAAGACGTACGAATTCACCATGGTGGTAAATGCATAGAGTATGTGGGCGACGCGTTTTATGTGTTGTCCAGTCGTGATCATAACTCGTGTGGGTAATCGTAAACCCTAAAACCCTTTGTCTGGGGAAAATCTATTTTAGCGTATGTATGTGTATGTTCAAGTGCTGTGTTAAGGGGTACGTATACCTACTTCTACGATATTCATACCATGAGTGACTCAGGGTTGTAGGCTAGGTCTTTGGTGTGCAAGAGTGTACGCAAAAATGCTCTTTGCGATGCTTTAATCAGAATCCGGTATCTCACATTATCTGATTGACATTCATCGGAATGTAACACCTCACATCATCCGATTAACTTGTTTTTAGCTAGCTCCTACTTCATCTGTTCTGAACAATACTCCAAGCAATAATTAAACGTGTGCTGATGTATGTGATGTATGTGCTATTCTTAGGAGGGTGGTATTCCCGCTGACAAGGATATCCCCTACTGTGTCGGTGGTTTTGGCTGCCTGCCCTGCATGGCTAAGCACTACGACAAGACTATGTGTGGCAAGCACAAGGACCTAATCTGTAACAAAGATCGGTAGGTTTTGGTTTATTAGAGTTGTCTTGCTGTATGTGTGTAATCTGTCACAAAGATCGGTAGGTTTTGGTTTATTAGAGTAGTCTTGGGGTATGTGTGTACTCTGTTACAAAGATCGGTAGGTTTTCGTTTCTTAGTGGTCTTGCTGTATGTGTGATAATCTGTGTCAAAGATCGGTAGGTTTTCGTTTAAAAGAGTAGTCTTGCTGTATGTGTGATCCATTTCAGGAATATGTCCGTGAGGCATCACACGAGAGTATTGGAACCCCTCGTTTAGTATCGCTCCTATCACATCATTGTGCATACACTTTGCTTTTAATGCCTCCGTCGGGTATCGGGTATACTGTGCTCCCATTCCCTGATGCAAACATGTATGGCCCACTCTACAGCACCTTGTCGCTACTGCTTCCTTACCAAACGACCGAACTCGACCCACTCTTACAAATGTACTGTGTCGTTCCCTGTTATATGGGCTCGTATTCCATGATACAGACATGTATGTGACATTCTGGAGGATAAGAAAAAGATAGCAGCCACCGTCACCGACTGGTTCAACGTGGGCAAGGATGAAGACCAAATGCGCGCTGCCCTGGTCAAGTACGGGCCGCTCTCAGTAGCGTTAAACGCCAACTGGCTGCAGTTCTACTTTGGCGGTGTGTCTAACCCGTGGTTCTGTGATCCGTTGGGCCTCAACCACGCCGTGCTCATTGTGGGCTACGGCAGTGAGACTTCGGCCGTGGGCACAGAGAAGCCCTACTGGATTGTGAAGGTGTGTGATACCTAATTCTGACCACTCGTCTGGACGGTGTACGGTGTTTAAAATTAATACGGTGGGTCTTCGAATGGCCATGTGTGCTAATGCATGTGGTGGTTGTATGGATGGTGTAGAACGACTTGCAGTGGTTGTGTTGTGTGGGTGTTAGTGTAGCAAATAGTCTGAGGGCTGTCACCTCCCCCTTACTATCGTGTTCGAGGGAGAGTGTGTGTGTGTCATCCACAGTTACCTATCTCTGCTACGTGCTTCCACTCCTCTCATGTGTACCGGGATAGTGAGCTTGACAAGGTAACCCCTCTGACGTATCTTACGCTTAACGGCCTTGTTTGGTTCATCATACAGAACTCCTGGGGAGAGAGCTGGGGCGAGCAGGGCTACTTCCGCATGATCCGTAATGTTGGCAAGTGTGGTATCAACACTGCCGTGACCTTCCCTGTGATGGGTTAAAGGAAACGTATTCACATACCCGATACGCAACCGATTGCGCCCCAGGGCGTGGGCCTGGTTGCAGAATATACCTGTATGAATATTTAGCCAACGATTACGGGCAATTTTAACAGTTGTGTGCTGAACTTCGAGCAGCGTTAAAGTTTAAATAGACGTAGGTACTATATTTATATATATATGGTAGTATGGCATAGTATAGTACTGCCGAGACTAAAATAAGAGTAGACAGTGACGAACTCTCAAGCGAAGTCTTGATCGAGGTTGTCGTAGCCATCAGTAGTAATAAAGTAACTGTTTTGCTTCATGAGGTCTTTCTCTGTCATGCACTTTTTACTACATATCTACCTGCCTACAAAACGGTCACCTACAGCAAACGGTGTACAAAGCAATAGGCACGCTGCGGATCGCAACTGTCAGTGTCAATATAACTGTCTGTGTTAATTGCACTGTGTCTTAACAAGTACAGTGGCAACATTCCCATGTTGTTGGCTTGAAATCTGAACGCCAGCTTGTAGTGTGCATGACCCCATAGTATTTGCTTCGACAGTTTACTGACCACGTGGTGCTGCATGACAGTCTGGTGGGCAACTCACTGTCTTACAGTCTAGGCAACACGTAAACGAATACCTATTGCAATGCCAAACAGAAGTGCATCTAGATAGACAGATAAAACTAATCTTTGCCAAACGGGTAAAGAAGTATTCTCTAATTATAGTCTTCAAGTTAAGGTAATCATCAAGAGAACGTTTATTCAGTCCGACAGGAGTATGCGGTCAATTACGGATGCCGGTAAACCCAACGATACCTGCGCCTGCCGCTTCACATTACCATACGCCCACTCGGGGTAGTCGCCTATCACATCTATCTCCGCCTGCACAGCCATTTCCAGGTAGTGTTCAATAGTGGGCAGAGCCCCCGCACCTGCTACCAGCAGCATGCGCATGCTCTCTCCCACCAGCGACATGAACACCGAACTATCCCACGTATCAAACGGGTCTTGCAGTACACTTAACGAGTTGATGAGCACATCGAACGCGGCCCTGGGATCGGTGCGGTGGGGTTGTGTGTTGCCTTTGGGGCGGGGGTGTTGGGCCGTTGCCTCGTGGCTGGCCTTCTCCGCATCCAGCTTACGTTTCAGCACATTGTAGAGGATAAAGGACGGGCGCATCAGGTACGTGTGTACTATCTTCGCTTGGACGGCTGGCGAGCAGTCACGACCATCTCGAGCGAGCGTATCAAAATACCTCACCAGGTGTGTGGTGACACATGCTATTGTCTCTCGCAGCAGGTCAATCATGACACTACTCACACCCTCCCCACGGTCTATACATACCGTCACACGGTTCCCAAGCTCGTCACAGGTGGCGGTAGCCTGCAACACCTCTCGCGGGAGAGAGGGTACAAGCACGCAGTATTCACACACACACTCAAATTCCCACCGCTGCGCCGTGTGGTCCGACTCGGCGTAGGCGGTCGTGACTTCTTCGCCTCGTTTGATGTCACACCGGGCACGCACCATATGCAATCCCTTGACAATCATGCGTGTGGTGTTGGACGCGCACGCGTGGTTGAGGTAGCTGATGTGGTCGTATACGCTGCAGACGTCGATGCGCTCGGGAGCGGCGGCGCTTTGAAACTCGTGCAGCTGTGTTTTGTGCAGGCCCTGCTCGCAGGAGAACGCGTTCATCCGCACCACATCCTTGCAAGCCTCCAGCGGGGGCACTTTCCAGCTGGTCCCGGGTAGTGTCTCTGCGTGTGCTCTATTACTAACCCTAATAGCGTTCATCATACCCGTCGAATTGCTGTTACGTGTGTCGGCTTCCTTGCCAGCAACACTCGCGCTTTCATTCCTTCCCACAGCAGCTGCATGCACACCGTCTCCCACCACTCTCGTGTCGCCGCCATGAGACGTTACGCCATTCCCGCTACCATCGGATACATGTTCACCTGAACTTGCACCGGCACCTATACTCTCCGTCACAGCACCACAGACACGGCTGCCAAACAGCCTGCCCAGTACCTCGGCAAACCCAGCATCACGCTTAGCCTGCTCATGCAGTACCTTGCCTAACGCATCCACCCCGTCTCTCTCTCGTGTCACCGCAACACTCGCCAACGGATACCCCGCCGTGACCAGCTCACCTCTGAGTATATCGCGGGTGGCCACCAACCCCCGGCCTTTGCCTAGAATCTCGGTGGTCTTAGCGGGGCCTATATACGCCCGGTGTCTATGGTGCATGGCTCCTGAGCTGGACGCTAAGAGCGCCTCTAGATCAAACACACCCTGCCTGCGCTCCGTTAGAGTAGTCTTCACCAACTGCAGTTGCACACGTGCATCGCTTAACAGACGCGTCTGTGAGCGGGCCTGCGCCTTGTTCCCTATGTGTGTAGTGGTTTGTGTCTTGTTGCATGTGTGTGTAGTGGTCTGCGACCTGTTGCATGTGTGTGTAGTGGTATGTGTCTGGTTCCATGCGTGTGCAGTGGTCTGTGACTGAGATGCAGCACCTGTCGTTGGTGCAGAGTGCTTGGCTGAAGTGTCTGATATGTTTTGGTATACCTTAATAGCTAGGTCGGCCTGTGCCAAGCTTTCGTCCAGACGGAGAAGCTCATACAGACACTTGCTCTTCGCCAGGTATACACGTGTCTTATTAATCCGCATCGACTCCTTCTCACACACTCTCTCATCAGTCGATTCTCTATCCCAACACGTATGGTGTGGTTGCCTAGCAGCCACAGACGCGTCATTGCTGCTCATGGCACCCGTACCTACTCCTGCTGGGTGGCTATGCATGTACCGCTCACAGTCATCAGCCCTGGCCACCCCAGCTGCGTACTCACACAGGGCATAGTGTGCATCACACAGGTCAGCGAAGAGTGCGAGTATCACCCCCCCACACAACTCAATGCTGCACTCCCCCACTTTTCCGTCGCTGTCAGATGCAGAGGTGGTATCACCTGACGGCAGGTCGCCCGTGTTGTCTTGCTTAACATACACACGTGTCTCTGTCCTGTTTATTCTAGAAGGTTCGTCCGCAGCGAGTCTCCGCTTGTCCGGCCACCTCAGTGTGTGCGTTTGTTCGTATCCGTCAGCAGAATACCTTCCGCCACATAGTTCACAAGTGTGTATACCTGCATCTAATTCACGCGATTCACTTGAATCCCTCGTGTGATCTTGTAAGATGTCAGCAACCAGCATTGTCTGTGTTGTGTGTTTTGTCGGAGCGTCCTTACTAGCTGCTACATTCAAACGACCTAAATCAGCGTCTATCTTCAACTTTTCGTTCCCATCCAGCAGCGCTACATCATCCAATGGGAATGCCAACGAATATGGACCACGATGCAATACCGGAGACATTGCGTGCATGAAGTGGAACTGGTCGCTGGTGCATATCGTGTACGGCTCATCCCCCACCGTATCTGTAGTCATATCTGGGCTCGCATCATGTTTAGGTCTGTGTGCGGTTGTGCTAGGCTCAATAAGACTTGCGTGTGTGTCACTCTGAGCCTCCAAGCGGTCGCTCTCACAGGTTACTCCCTTCATGCCGGCACCCCCGTTGGGAATAGTGCCTACACGTCCAGTTGCGTGATCGTAGACACAGCCCACTGACGTCGCTTCCAAAGCAATGCTGAAGCATCGAATGGCCCCCCTGAACTCGCGTTGTTCATAGGCGGTGTGACCTTTCCTTAGCTGTAACCTGCAACAGGACTGGCAGATCATCGTGCTTGTAGTCCTTACGCCTCTGGTTGCAGTTGATCTGGCTGTGTGCACTTATCGCACGCACTGGTTGAGATATTTATTTTTGCATGCACTGGGTGTAAACGGATTGTGGACTAAAGCTCAGCTCGTAGCCTGCCCTATATTTACACTACATTTAGGTCTCACCGTCTCTTGTACTACACTATCTTTCATTTTTTAAATCTGAATATAAAAAATATGTAAATAGGTCCTTCAGACGCTAAGCCTAATAGTTCGACCTACTATTTATATTCATGTTTCTTTTCTGTAGCACAGCACCCAGAGGGTCGTGTACAAGAGATGTCTTAGGTCTCCTGGTCTTGTATGTATGCATTCAAATACTTATGAATACGCTCAGAACAGCCTCACAAGTCACAAGTCACCAATGATTGTCAATTGATTCTGTTAGATCTATTTAAAAAAAATTAAAAATAGGAGGCGATGTGATTATTGTTAATATGGCAGTTGACACGCAGGGTTCACGCGCCAAATAACGACCTATCCCTAATATGGTGGTGTATTTAAAAACCGCGGGATATAATATAAAAGTAAATACATCAAATAAATATTTTGGTCTGATTTGGATGTCATATTTTGTGATGTTTCTGATAAGGATTGTATTTATGTATTTTAATGTATTCATGTACCAGTGCTACTTACGATAAGGATGGTATGTATGTGATAGTGACTTATAATAAGGATGGTAAGTATGTTATAGTGCTAATTATGATAAGGATGGTATGTATGTAATAGTGATTTATGATAAAGATTGTATTTATGTATGAATGTATTCAAGTATCAGTGCTAGTCATGGTAAGGATGGTGTGAATGTATTAGTGATGTTTATGATAAGGATTGTATGCAATAATGTATCAGTGTTAATTATGATAAGGAACGTGTTTATGTAAATAATAGTAATTTTTATGATAAAGACTGGATGAATTTGTTTGTGATATTTATGATAAGAATTGTATGTATATATTCGTGATATTGATGACAAGGATTGATCATTGGTAACTATGATATAGTTGGTTTGTATGCTGCAGTGATATTCATGATAAGGATGAAATTGATGATAATTATGATAAGGATTGTATGTATATATGCTCGTGATATTTATGTATATATCATTGCTAATTCTATGTATAGTAAGTACGTATCGGGGTCATATATAATAAGGATTGTATGTATATATTCGTGATATTTATAGTAAGGATTGTGTGTAAATATCCGGGATATTTTTGTATCAGCGCTAATTATAGTATGGATGGCATGTATGTATCAGTGTTAATTCTGATATGAATGATATTTATACCATAGTGGTATTTTATGTTCGGGATTGTACTATAATCGTGATATCTGTGATAAGGACTGTATGTATATATTTGTGGAATTTACGGTATGGATTGTATGTATTTATGTGACAGTGTTATTGTAAGGATGGTAAGTATTAATGTAATTTTGATATTTATGATAAGGATGGTATGTACGTATTAGTGATATCATAAGAGTTGTATGGATATATTGATGATAATCATCTATGTATTAGTAATATCTATGATAAGTACGGTATGTATATATAGGGATATCTACGATATAGATGGTATATATATAGTGACATCTATGATACGGATGGTATGTATGTATATATAGTGACATTTACGATATAGATGGTCAGTATGTATTCATGATATCTATGATAAGGATGGTGTGTATGTATGTATAGTGGTATTTATTATAAGGATGATATGTATGCATATATAGTGATATTTACGATGTCGATGGCAAGTATATATAGTGATAACTATGATAAGCATGGTATGTATGTGTATATAGTGATTTTTACGGTATAGATGGTCAGTATATATTCATGATATCTATGATAAGGATGGTGTGTATGTATGTATAGCGGTATTTAATATAAGGATGATATGTATGGTGATATTTACGATGGCGATGGCAAGTATATATAGTGATAACTATGATAAGCATGGTATGTATGTGTATATAATGATATTTACAATATTGATTGCACGCATATATTCATATCTATGTTAATTATGGTATGCATGTATATATAGTGGCATTTACCGATTAGACTGTAAGTATATATTCGTGATATCGATGATAGGGATGGTATATATGTATATATAGTGACATTTACGATTTAGATGGTAAATATGTATTGTGTGACTCAGTAGTTGCTCTGACACTCTTCTGCTGGGCGCTGGGGCGAGTGTGGGCTCTGGCGTAGTAGCTGTCAACTGTCACGTGTTCAGTCTACACAGGCACAGACTCGACAGATTGAGATATGAGAATGTGTGAATGTTTATTTAAACAGCTGGCGTCTGGATTTTACATGTGTATGCCATAGTGCATCAGACGTGGGCCACTGGTGACTCGCTGATACTATCTTACTTCACACTGCCACACAGGTACCATAGACTGTTAGAGAGCTGTATCAAGAACGGTACGGTACATCCCTTGAATACTCTGTACTGAATAAAGCATGTACATTAGCAGTAAGCGTATAGATGACTGAATAATCCACATAGGGGTAGGAAAATATATTTAAGTGTAGGGCAAACCGAGCACAGTCATAGACGTCGTGTATTTCTTCTCTAAAGCGTTGGTGCGGTGAGTACGAAGCTCAGCAAATGGCACGAGTTAACATTTGTCCTGTGCATTTGTCCATGCATATATGTACATTTGTCCATGTACATATGTACTTTTGTCCATGTACATATATATATTTGTCCATGTATATATATACATTTATCCATGTATATATGTACATTTGTCAATGTGTATATGTACATTTGTCCATGTATATATGTACATTTGTCCATGTATATATGTACATTTGTTCATGTATATATGTACATTTGTCCATGTATATATATACATTTGTCCATGTATATATGAATATTTGTCCATGTATATATGTACATTTGTCCCATGTATATATGGACATTTGTCCCTATATATATGTACATTTGTCCATGTATATATGTACATTTGTCCATGTATATATGTAAGTTTGTCCATGTATATATGTACATTTGTCCATATATATAAGTACATTTGTCCATGTATGTATGTACATTTGTCCATGTTTATATATACATTTGTCCATGTATATATGTACATTGCTGGTGCCATCCCTGCCCGATTCCTGGTGATTTCAATAAAGCTCTATAAAGTGACACTTCGGAGGCCGTTGGTTGGTTCCGACACTGTCGCGTTGAATAAATACTCTGACAAGGGGTTTTTTCTTGTCTCCACTTCGAGGAGACGGGCGATCACTGAAGAGCACACATGAGTCACGACTGTTCCATTCACTTCAACCTTGCACATGGCGTATGCAGCGCTGTATTAGATTCAAGGTTTTAGGGTTTTAGCATGAATTCGACAACAAAATACCAGCAGACCCCCTCTTCAACTGCCAAAATGATGCCGAGTGCTGCATTGCTGCCGGTCTATTCGCGATCATGGGCTACACCGATGCGCTTGCGCACACAAACGCCCACTGAACCATAGGCGCTGCTTTTGATGCGCCTCGCCTGCTTGCTGAGTGAGCTGGTTACTACAGCAGCAGAGTACAGTCTCTCGGCGATAGTGCCTCGTGGATTGGCTATGTATCTGTAGTGAGTGGGCAGTGTCAGGTGGTGGTGTGGTGTCTCATGGATTGGTTATGTATCTGTAGCGAGTAAGTAGTGTCAGGTGGTGGTGTGTCTTGCCCGTGCACCGTGTGGCGTCGTGGATAGAGTCCAACGTCTGCCGATCAGGAGGTTAGAGATATCAAAGCATCCACAGAGAAGTACAAGTACACCGTTGGCGCAAGCTTGTGTATCGTTTATTCCAACAGTGTATGAGGAGTGATTGAGTTCCTGTTTCTTCGTGGTCGTTGTGAATACGTTCATCTGAAGTGGACAAGGCATGGGTGCTCGCTTGGATTGTTCTTTGCCTGCGCACTGTCCCCTCTAGTACTATAGCCTCTTATATCAAAATACGATATAGCATGTTGTATCAAAATACGATATAGCATCTTGAATCAAAATACGATATAGCCTATTGTATCAAAATACGATATAGCATCTTGTATCAAAAGACGCACTCATGGTCAGAGATTTAAAGCGTTCTCTTTCTGTCGATTGCTCATTCAACTACACGAATATGCGCATAGCTATAGCCATAGTGAAGTTCTGCACTTGTCAGTAACATCCTACGAGTACCCGGACTCACGCTACGAGTCAATAACCAAGCGTTCCCATTGGTTAACAAGAATGTATGCTACCGCCATCTGGACATAAATAGGATTACCTCTATAAACGGTGCACTTAGGCCCAATAATCGAAGCTAGTGCCATCTCGGAAGTAAATGGGATTACCCCAATAAACGGTGCACTTAAGCCCAATAATAGAAGCTAGTGAGTCATGATGGGTCAGAGTGTACATATTCAGTCGACTATTGTTTGCGCTGGGCGATTGCAGGCGCAGGGCCTGGGAGTCCAAGAGTAGCAATGAACCTGTATCTATAAATAGAAACGCCCGTAAACTCGTCAACCCCCAGAATCCGCTACTTGCACGCAACTAAGCTGGGCTTGTGGTAGTAGAGTCAGTATCGAACGGCCTATCATAGGCATAATCTAATGGTTTATTTGCTCCCAAATAGGTTTGTTGGTGACACTCGAAGCCAGATGTGCTGATGTTGTTGCTGCATACACAGCCGCACGTTCTCATCCCGCACTTCGTATTCTGCAGTATAAGTCTCAGAACACTTCCTATCACCCTCATCTGTCGTTCACTTTAAAGCACCTCTGATCCCAACAGATTAGTCACCTCTGTCGTATCTATAAAGCAGCGCTCACTCCCACAGACTAAGCGTCGGCGGCATCCCGCATACTGTGCACATACAGCCCATTCATATCGCCTTGGCCCTTTCGAATGGGCTTCGTTAGGTTCTCTCTGGTAGCCTAAGTCTGTGCGGTTGCTGATTTCCGCTGGCGTGAGACGTCGACTAGGTCTACCGACTTATGTCTACCGCTGTGTCCTACCGAGTGATAGCTGCTGCAGCTGCGCTACATAACCACATCGGTTGCCGTTGTAGATGGATGCGGCACCATGCAACCGTTACATATGTCATGTGCATGTTGGAGAGGAATATGAACCCATGTCGTTGTAGTTACAAGTGCAGCATATTACAGCCGAGGTAGTTGTATAACTATCCCATGGCACCTGCAGTACCTTACAGCCGTGGTAGTTGTATGTCTATCCCATATCACTTGCAG